CCCCCCCCACAGGACCAAGAATTAGGGAAACTTACCAGAAGCATGAAACGAAGACGGCTGGGCAAGTTGGGTGTCTCAATCATCAGGTGAATGCGAGCAAAGTAGGCATCCATCATGGCAGGTCCCTTCTCAGAGGCATCGAGGCTGGCACCGATGGTGCGCAGCAAACTGGTCAAACTCTCAACCTCGGCTTCATCGGGGATACCCTCGTAGTCCACAAGCTTCTTAACACACTCGTGCATGATACGCTCTGTAAGCATGCCAAGCTTGTACAGTTCACCAATGAACTTGACGAGACCGAGACCACGACGCTTAGCGGCAGCAGCGATGTAGTATTCGTCAGACATCATTGCAACCTGTGATCGATTATCAATTAGTACAGAGGGATAATGAAGTTTTGTTGCCGATCGACATACCTCTTCAGTAGTGCCTTCGGGCTTCTCAGGCAGATTAGTTTTCCAACCACGCTCGAACTCTTCTTGACAGCGGTTGAGCAGGTACTTGCGGAACAGACTTCCACCAGCGACAACAGTGCCATTTCTGTCACGGATGTTCTCATCCTTAATTTCTGGGCTCATGCTCTCCAGCATGCTCTTACAGAACTTGGCGTACATAGGGGCCCAGTGAGCCTCATCGGTAGCCTTCTCAAAAGTGAGTTGGATGACCTGGCGCAGGGTACGACCGTCAGTCTCATCCTTGGACTGGGAGACAATCGCGAGAATTTGACTAGAGATACGGTCAAAGTTCTCCGGTGTCATCTTGTTGAGAGCAGACTTGACCTTGCGCTGCACGACATCCGGTGCCAAGTAGCCGGTATCACCACCAGGGGCGGGACCGGCAGCACCCTGGCCAACACTGCGGGGCTTCCAGCCAGTTGCAGTGGTTTGAATCGCCTTTAGTTCCATACCAGCAGTAAGGGGCATCGACTTGTTTTGCGCCTCGTCCCCTCGGCCACCGTGCTTCTTCTGTCGGCTGTCGTTGCGGGGACCCTTGCTCGAGCTGCCACGCGGAGGAACACCGGCAGAGTTTTGGCGAATATTTCCAATGGGACCCATGCTACCAGGGCCGCCCCGTCCGAATTGGAAGGATGCATTGCGGCTACCCATCGGCCCACTGCCCATAGGGGGCATCTGACCAGGTCGGCCTGTGTTGAAGTTGCCCATGCCGGAGAAGGCTCCTGGTGGACCCGTGGTACCGCTGCGAGAGCCAGTACGGCTACCCATGCTAGGAGTGCGGGCAGATTGGGGACGGGACGAATCGGCGGCATCACCAACTGTATCCCGCAGACGAGAGTCCCAGTCAATGGAAATCTTGTCCTTGAAGATGGCCTGGAATTGCAGCAGGAATTCCCGGTCGTAGTGGAACTTGCGGCCTTCGGGCGCAGCTGCGTTCATCTCAGTGCTGGGAGGTGTGATGGTGGATGGGTAAGTGATCTTGCTGAGGTCTTTCAAGAACTGGGCATTCTGCAACGACTTCATACCTGCAGTTGCTTGCAGAGGCTCGGTGGACTTGGGAGTGTCGAGCTTGAGGCCAGCGGGCTTCTTGGAACTAGCGCTGGCAGGCTTGGCTGGCGGGCCCATATCAGATGAAACAGGAGTAGCAGCACCGCTGTCGCCAGGGGTGGAAGACTCGGTGGCACTATATCCACCCTTCTTGAGCGAAGCAAATGCATCCTTGATGTCATCCTGGGCGGCTTCGCCACCTCCGGCACGAGCGGCATTCTCGCGCGCAATCTCGCGGGCCTCGGCCTCAGCCTCAGCCTTCTTCATGTTGGCCTCGTAGTTCTCAAGTTCCTCGCGCTCCTTCCGTGCAGCTTCCTCCTTCTTGGCTTGCTTGGCGCGGTTGTAGTCTTCCTCGGCAGCACGCTCCTTGGCTTCAATCTCGGCCATTTCACGCTCGATGGCATCAAAGTCGATCTCGTCGTCATCCACGGGGACGGGAGCTGGAGCAGGGGCCTTCTTGGGCTCTTCAGCAGGGGCAGCAACCTCCTTCGACTCTTCAGCAGCAACCACCTTCTTGGGCTCCTCAACGGGAGCAGCCTTATCCATGATGCTAAGATCTTCAACGGCAGCCCGGACAGACTCGGTGTCGTCCTTCTTGGCATCGGTCGACGCGGCTTCAGTGGTCTTGCGAGAGGCCTCATCGGCCAGGCGCTGTTTCTGAGCAGCCTCATCCTGCTGGATCTTCAGGCGAACTGCATCCTTCAGCTCCTGCTTCTTCTCCTCGTCTGTCTTTGTGGCATTCGGCTTGCTCTCGGTACGAGTGTGCTCAGACGCGCTGGCGGTGCGAGGGGGAGGAGTGGATGTGGGAGGAGCAGATAACTTCACGGGCGAAGGGGTGGCACGAGCAGGGGATGCGGGGTTCTTTTCGAAGGTCTTGACGGAGCCGCTGTTGGGGTCCTTGATGATGATTGGGCTCTTCTTAGCTGAGGGGATGATGAAGTGAGGCTTGGGAGCAGGGCTGTTGGATGCGCGGCTGCCAGTATGTGTGTGACTTGCGACAGCTGGACCAGCAGGTGCTGGCCCTTGGCCGAGGCTCGAAGCTGGACGATCGGTAGATACCTGAGAGGGAGTACGCGAAAGTGGGGTCGCCTGAGGCATGGGGTTAGGGAATTGCTGTCCCATGTACTGAGGGTTGTAGGGCATGCCAGCAGCACGAGGTTGGGGAGACGGCGGGCCCATATAGTAACCAGCACTCGGGTTGTAATAACCCGCGTAGTTGGGATCGTAGGCGTTGGGGAATGACTGTTGAAATTTCACCAATGTTAGAATCTGTTCGAACTGACCACTTTCAGGCGCAAGATCCACGGGGCACTCGGATGAGTCTGTAGGGTTGTCTTTGCGCCTCCAAGAGCTGGTAAGGTTTCTTTGAGAACGACGCCAGGAATCCTGGGAAGTCCGGGAAGGGGGGGATCTCACAGCTTGAGGGCCCATGTGTTGACCGTAACCGTAAGGTTGCTGAGGCATCTGGGGGTGTGCCATCGGAACTTGGTTCATCTGAGGAGTGGCAGGGTTAACGTTGGCCAGGGCAGGGCTGCGGTTGGCTTGGTGCGGCGAGTTCGGGTAGGGAGCCAGAGGACGGCCCTGGTTCGAGCCGTGAAACTGGGGACCCATATTAGGACCGCCTCGCGGCTGGTTAGGGGTCTGACGGAAACTGGGGTTAGGCGAGTAGGGGATCTGCTGTCCCTGGTAGCCGGGCTGGGAGTATCCGCGACCGCGACCGCCTTGGTAGCTTGAACGTCCGGGACCGTTACCCATGTGGTTGCTCATGTCGCTGTGGGTGGATTGGGAGGACTCGCGACGCAAGTGCTGAGCACCGTGTGCGAGAGAAGCCTGTGAAATCGAACACACCTATGTGAGCAAAACAAATTCAAAAACGATGAGGCATAGGAAAAGTCGCGCACAGGTGGTGCCACGCTAGATACACATTTGCGCATGCTAGATCGCTCAGGAGGGAAGAAATCCAGATACTTACGTTGGCATCAACAGATTCTCCAAAACTACCGAAGTTCGGCACATTTCCTTGCGCCTGGTAGGTCGATGGGGGTGGGCGACCGCCGCTGGACGCGGGCTGAGGGATAGGCGAGGGGGAAGTCTGAGGAGAAGTCACCCGGGGATTTGTCGAAGGGGCGCCAAGTCCAGCCTGGGTCTGGTTGGAGACGGGCACAGCGGGAGCACCCATGTTGGGAGAACTCTGCTGGAATCCGAACTGAAGACTGTTGGGCCGACTAGCCGGGCCACCGCCGTTGGGCATGTAGCCAGAGGTGCCGCTCGAGGTGATGGTCACAGATGGCTTGCGAGAGTGATCGCCGGAGGAAGCAGCCGAGGCAGTGGGAGCTCCATTGACAATGGTCACGCCAGAAGAGGCCGACTTTTGAGATTGGTTTTGCATGGGTTTGCCGTTCACAGATACGGAGCTCGACTGCCCATGTTGCGCTGAACCGCCCACGGTGACGGGTGCGGCGGTAGAGCCCGTCGCGGACTTCTTAGTTGCGTTGGCGTAAGATCTAGCTGGCGCCTGGGTGGCAGGCAGGGGGGTAGAGGATGCGGGCTGGGTCGAAGCGACGGGAGTAGCGGTGCTTTGTCCTTGGTTGCCCGACTGAGGAGGGTTCGAGCTCATTAGACAGGTTGTACGTCTAAACGCGCGAAGAGGGAGGAAAGTTCAAGAGAAAAAAAAAGACGAAGGTGATGTCAGTACGCGGAGGCGTAACAAGGCCACATCCAAACCTAACTGCAGGTTATTAAAACGGATGAACTGTGATAGAAAAAAAGGAAACGAGTTTCCGAAATACACAGAAGACCAGGTACGCAGCAAGAGCAGCGTTTTGGTCGACAGTGTGGATTTTTAAAGGGTTGATTCTAAGGGTAGAAGATGGTGGGAGAGAAAAAATTCAAGGCGAAAAAAAATATTCGGGTTTGTGGAAAACGAAAGGGCAGAACAACAGAGAGAGTTGTGTGCCGGGTCGACCAACGTACCTTTGAATGTGTGTTATGGGATGGATTCTCTTGAGAATCTCTAGACACAATGAACTTGACGAAATTTCGATTTCAGAAAGAGAAGTGAGGGCAAAATAGAAAAAATGGTCGAGAGTGATACTGTCAACGCCACCCACATGTTACAAAGAATCTACGGAGTATGTTGTATGTTGTATTGACTATAGACTACAACATACAGTGTATGATAGTGTCTACAAGACAGTAAAATGTACACCAAATGAAGTTATCCATGAATTCTATCAACCAGTAAAGATGATTCTACTCGGATTAATGACTCTGGAGTATTATCTATTCATCTGGAACCTGATAGACCCTCCATCTGTCCCCCAATGCCCCATTTCTCCCGTTTGCCACTATGGTAACCCCATCTCTACATCTCCATCTACTTCAATACATGACACATGATACAAATGGACTTACAAGATGTTTAGAAGTACTCCGTCTACACTATGCATTTCATAAAAAAAAAATTGGATCTCCTATGTCTCCTGATCTCCTATGCACCCCCCTGATTCAATAACACTCAATAGTAGCTTTCGACACACAGGGATATCAAATACTTCTCCCCTCCACGTCCTTGCAGTGCATCTGCGTTAAACCTCTTTGATGCAAGGCTATTCTTCCGACCGGGGAAATGTGGCTTGACATCCTCGCTTGATCTCAGTAGTAGATGAGCCAGCCTTCAATTCAAAGTTCGAGTTAACTGTTATTGAACAGGACAGGAAAAAAACCCTTCCCTTGAAAAAATAGCATGTCTCCCATCCCCATCTCTCACCCAGCAAGAGCAAGGTGTTGAAGTTCTATTTTGATCTTCTTGTTCTACTCTAGCCACCCCCCCCCCCCCCCCCTTTTTCGTCCCCCCTTCTCTCCCCCGTTAGACGCGGAACATCTCCGCGGACAGACTCAAGATCGGTCGTACCCGGTTGCGCGCGACCGGGCAATCTCATCGACAGCCCGCGCCGTGAATTCAGCACCAGACGAGGCCGAGGAATTTTGCTCGTTGTTGAACCAACCGGTTGTCCATCCACTACTAGACTTTCGTTCGGGGCGACGTCCTAGATCCTCATCATCAACCACCTCGAAAGAGTTCTCGCTGCGGTTCTTGCGCAACGGCACTCCGTAGGTAAGGTCGTCAGCCTCGAGCCCACCCCGAGGAATGCTCCGCTCTTCTTGTGCTAGGGTGGATCGGAGATGATCTAGTAGCTCTCGCTGCGAAGAAATAAAATGAGCCTTCTCAGCTCCAGACATAGACTGCAGCTGACGCTGAAGGAGATTGCCACTGGCTGAAAGCTCCTCGTCCCGCGCTTCTCGAGACTTTCCAGATGTCACTGAGCCCACCGCGGCACTCAGAACGGAATACCAATCAGTTGTGTTGGCAGATGACCCGGCAGCTCCGGCAGCGGGGATGTTGAATCGCGAAAGTAACGACTGCGCGTAGGAAGCGGCACCTGGCTGCGGGGGTGTCGTGGGGCGCTGCGGGGGGAGACCCAAGATTTTCTCGCGGATCAAATCGATGGCTTGGTAGAAGTATTGAAGACCCAGTGCCTTGGCCCGCTCATGGGTGCGGCCGATCATCTCTTCAATCTCCCGCTCATGGTGTGTCAAGAACGGGTCCACATATTCTTGGTACAGTAAGCGAGCCCCTTGCGTCTGGGGAAGGACGAGATAAGACATGAAACCGAGGCGGATCCAGCTATAGAATGGGAACCTGGGAAATTATCGAGTCACGATTAGCTTGCGATCCTCAAAAATTGGAGTGGATTAAATATACCATCCGATGATAAACACTGTCCAGGACTCAGCGAGCAGAGTGATTGAAAGCACCACCCAGTACATCAGCCATGGTGCGAGTTGTGAGGGGTCGGAGGAACGGAGAGCTTTGTAAGAAGCGAAAACTGGGAAGAGGATCGTGATAACTGAGCTATACAAATAGATCTGCATTAGCTTGCGGACCTCTTTCTGGGGGTCTCGGATGATACTTACGACAACAAGTCCGCAAAGATTCCAAACATGATGAAGCCTGGGTGAATTGAAGATGTGAAAAAAAAAATTTCCTGGTCTTTATTTTTGGTCTTCAGTCAGCCCCGCTGATCTGAGACGAACACCGAAGTTGGGCAAAAGAAAAAAGAGAACAAAGCAACAAAGATAGTCTATGGGTATATGATGATCCGATTAAGAGATCAAACAGGATAAGCTCCAAAAAGAGAGATAGGACACAAAATGTATTTCACGATAACTTCGTAAGAGAGGTGACTTGCATTTCCCATCTGGGCAATGGATGTGTTGACGTCATCTTTTTTGGGGGGGAGGAGGGGGGGGGGCTGATTGTTATTGATTCATATTTTTAAAGACTATATATATATCTTAGATTTAGATCTTGAGATATTTCAGATCTTATTTTGACGTTGTTATTGAATATGGTACAGGAGGTACAAGCCCGACAAGGCACACGTCGCCAACGAGCGGCCCAATCACCCGAGATGCTTTAACCAGTTCCTTTTCTACGTATAATGGCCTGTTCCTCTTTCTCTTCCAGGCATTTCTTTTCTCGAGAGTCCTTAATCCCACTCCATTTTCCATACACCGCGGTTCATTCTGTGAATCCTGTATTGTTATTTCCCCGCACGTTCAACTACCCCGGTGGACCTCAGAAACTCAAACCATGTGCATCGCATTGATCTCAACTGCCCATCCAGAATACTCGTTGATTATAATCAACAACAGAGATGTGTGTATCTTCCCACTCTATGATGTGGAATCTCAAGTTTAATCACACCTAGGAATTCCTCCATCGTCCTACATCATCGCCAGACTGGTGGCCGGAGCCAGCCTCCTATGTCCTTGGCTCGCGAGACTTGGCTCGATCTACACATGGCACGTGGATGGGGGTCACCAAGCATGGCAAGGTGGCAGTTCTTACTAACTACCGTGAGGATTCGACCACCGCAGCCATCGGAGTCTACAGCCGGGGCGTCATCGTCAACAGCTGGTTGATCGGGTCCACCGATAATTTAAAAAATACCAGGGAGTTTGTACAAGGCATCGTGGCCAGCCCAGAAGCAAAGCAGGTGGGGGGGTTCAGCTTGGTGTGTGGACATATCAACGAACCCTTGGCCATTGTCTCCAACCGTTCCACGGACATGGACCAGATCACATGGGTGGCAACGGAGAAGAATCAGACACGTGGGCTTAGCAACACAAGATTTGATGACAGGACCTGGCCAAAGATTATCGATGGAGAACAGTTGATGGAAGCCGCTATTAACGAGCATGTGCAAAAGGGGGAGAGGGAGGGCGAGAATGCGTTGATTGATCGTCTGCTGAAGGTTCTCAGCACAGACAGTCTGCCACGACTACCAGAGAAGAATGCCACAATTGAGACATACATCCATCATCTGCACAAGACTATCTTCGTTCCTATCATCGGTGCTCCAAATGACCGTGACCAAGCTGCAGAGAAAATTGCTGCGGCGCGGGTAGAGGATGAAACCCCGGCAAATGGACCCCCCGACCAGAGTTATACATCTGGATCATATGGGACACAGAAACAAACGGTGATCCTGGCACGACCGGATGGACGGGTTCGATATTTTGAAAGAACGCTGTATGACAATGATGCGAATACGGTGCCGATCGGACAAGGGGATCATTCATTTGAATTCAATATCACAGAGTAGTTTTTAATAATCTTAGTGAATACACTTTGCCCATCTTATTGATTGACTTGCTCCAATGAGATCAGCAATCATTCCAATCAACGTGGGGATTGCAAGAGGCGAACTATGAAGGGTCAAGTCCTACTCAAACAGAGGGCTAGCTTAGTCATGTCATCAACTCCAGGAGGAAGAGCTTCATATTCGCTTTCAGCCGTCATTGGAACGGATTCATTCTAAGACACGGTTGTGCTTTGAACAGAGTGATTGAATTTAGCAATTATGGCTTTCTCCGGGAGTTGGGCAAGGATAACAAAGAATCAGGGAAGAGTGAGGGGAAAGAAGACATTGAAGTCAAGAACAGGTGAAGGTTAGATATTTAATATGTTGGAACGATTCAGCAGAGGGAGCAATTAGAACGTTGGATGTCACTAACTTTTAGAATTCTCAATTATCCATCTTCTTTTTCTCTATCCCACTTTCCAAAATCAATCTTGAGACACATGCGCCTCACTATGAATCCGACTTTTCTTCCCCCGATGGTGTCCGGATTCTTGGAATTTAAGCGTTCCAGGGGGCCATAGCAAGTGACGAAACCATTCAATTTACCCTGTGCCTCTTCCTTCCGCGCCTAGAGAGCCTTCCCCAGAAATCTGCACTCGACGATTTCAGAAGTGCTAGTCTCAGCAAACCACGCGCAATAATGGATCATACCCCGACCCTTGAGGACGTATTTAATGATGAGGACAGAGGCCCATCCCTGGACCCAGGGGATGAACTGGAAAATGCAAATAATCGCTTACAATCGACACTGAAATCCAGAGATTGTTTCAAGGACGAATGATACACCGATACCGATCAAGTTCGCAGGGAAATGTCTCTGCCCGTTTTGATATCTCGAAAAGGGCCAACGGAAACTTTTTTATCTCTCTCCTTGAGATCAGACAGACTTGGCCCCTTTGAAACAAAGGAGTGGCGAATGATCGAAAAGTATCGGTAGATTAGTGATCGTCCACCTAAGCCACATACTGTCATGTCTTGCCTCGCACATGCTTGACACCAGGGCCTGACTACCCACGAAATGAGAGATGTTGTGAACTTTATGGTCATTCGGACACTTAGATGACCATTCCATACTTGCCAAATTCATTCAGTAGGGGGGTTCAAACTATATGACAGGTCATCCAAGAATCATGTCTAATAGGTGTTCTAAATTTTAGATCTTGGTTCTCTCCTATCTAGGCTATAGGAAAGTAAGATTCCTCTAAGCAATTTACGATGTACTGGCACTGGAATTGCAATCCTCCCAACTTTGGCCTTTTGATGAAGCGTCCGCTCTAAAATAGATGTATGTTGGATGTTTACTAAGCCAACCCGTTGGTCAAAAGGTGTCTACTGTGAACCGAGACTCATCTTGAAGGAAGTCTAAGCCTCAAAGTGTTTAGTTGTGGTGGCTATTCTGCTAGAGCGCTTGGTTTGGCGAAGGGATTAATACTAGTCGAAGGTCGTAGTTCCTAAGATTGAAGGTTGGTTCATCTGCTAGTTGGTATGGATATCGTAGATGGATCCATTGTTTGTTCCAGTTCCCTTAAATGTAATAATGTTGACGGTAACATTGCCGCCTCGGGAAGTGATCGGCGGATTCCAGGGTGAGTTGGTCACCCCGCCGCCCTAAGCTGCCCACTGAGCAACCTGATTGCTCACCCCGGTGCTCTCCCCTGATCAGCCCCTTCACCCTCCGTCTTGCCTTCTAGCTTTCGCCTGCTCCGATGGTAACCGCACTGCCTACCGGTGTTCCTGGGAGTTCTGGTCTGGAGATGACGTATTCCCACGTCGCTACAGTGACTTGCTGTCCTCTTCGAACTTTCCATCGGTTGACTCGATCCCTTCGGCTTGCATGAGATATTCAGTACCACCTCACCTCTACACCCTCTCATACGTTCTCTCGCTAACGCTGCCGACACCACCCAGCAAACGAACCACGAAAATTCACCGTTGTCCTCGTTCCTCCATATACTGTGCCAATTTGATCCCAGGAACAACATTCGCACCAGCCTTCGGGCAACCTCTTTATGTGTGGTATACCTAGGTCTCGAACAACTCGCCGCGCCGTGTGACGCAAGTCGACGACATCGGCTGACGGATCTAGTTTAGTTTCGGGCTAGATATCTGCCACTGAATGAATTAAGCTAGCATTCCTAGGAACCCTTTCCTATAACTGATCCCTCGCAGCTAGAAATGGCTCTGCGATTGGCTGCAGCGAATACTGGGGCCTTGTCGATAGATCCAGAATCTATGCCGGTTCTGTCGACAATTCGCTGCTCTATCTCACGGGCTGATTGAAACGATGAATCGAAACAAATAAATAGTCCCAACTATCCCCCCTTTGCAGCATTTGTTTGAAATATCATCGACCGTGAATTTTACTGCCTCCTGCTTTGATTCCCATTCATTCAGAACCTCTTGAATCTACCTACCATGGTAACGCTGAACTATCAAAGATTTTGGCAGCCATTACCAAGAGCTTCAGTGAGACGCTCTTCCACCGGCTCAGAACCCAGACTACCGATGTAGTGAGGCAATCGGACGCCCCAGAAGAAAGAGATGAAGCAGACTACACCCTGGGGAATAATGTGCCACAAGAAGAACGCAGTACATTGAGTCTCGGTAAGACATATTTTAAACACCCTCCTCCCATGCCCCTTGGAATTATTACGGTCTCTCCAATTTTAGAAACCGACGAGCCCCCTCGAGCCAATTCGCCTGAACTCTATCTCAATGATGCAGCATCAGCCGCCGGAAATTATCCTGACTACCCCGAGGAAGTCGCTCTTTATCCTTCCTCCCGAGATACTGCCTCCGTGACTGGCTTAGAAGGCCCTGGTACGACAAGAGTCTTCGATGTCTTTGAGGACGATGGCACCAGACAAAGCGACGGGGGGTATTACAGAGATTGTAATCCAAACGAAAGGAAGCGAGCTTTGGAATATTCAAATACATCCTCTCCGAAACGATGCCGGCACCGGACTTCTACAGTCACAAATGCGAACAAGCCGCGAGGAAGACGAGCACATAAACCAGGAGCCGGAAATTCGCCAAGCAAAATCACAGAGGGCGATTCCGCGGGCAATCTTGCAGGCCTAAGGAATGCGATCGGATATTTGAAGCGAGCTTACAGTGTAGTCACTGCTGAGGCCAAATTTTTTGACGACCTCGCGGGTGCAGAAATTCTCAAAGAGAATCTTGCAGTGCTTCAGCTTGCAACAAAAACGCTACAACACGCATACGGCATCATCACAACAAGCACCACAGCAATGGAAAATTCAGTGCGAGAGGCTACGACTGTAGAACCACGGCCAGGTTTTACCCGCAGGAAGTGGACCCCCGAAGATGGGCGTCGACTCTTGAGGTTGAAAGACTCTCAAAAGCTGTCATGGAGTAGTATTCGCGATTCGTTCCCCGAAAGAACTATGAATGCACTCAGGAGCCAATACTCTCGGGAGACTTCCAAGCATTTGGAAGCTTTTTCGAGTAAGGGGAGCCAATCGGTCAGCGCTGGTCGGCAACCAAAGTACACATCAAAGATCCGAAGAAGCCCTAGGCCAGGCCAACCTCACCAGGTCAAAAAATATGAGGAGCGAAGTCGAGCACCACGGAAGGTATCCCTCGCGTGCAAGGAATCATTGCGGTGATAATGCATTGAAGTTGGATTCCATTGATCCCCGACTCCGTGACCTCGGTAATGCCTAAGTCCGCCCCACTGTATTTTTTTCTGGTGGTAAGACCGGCATAGGATCTTTGGGCGGCAAAATATCTTCTGCAAATGCGAATGACGGTCAATGCTACAATGTCATTAGAGCAGAAGGTTGTGTTTCCGGAGTTCTTTATGTAGATACCGAGCCTATATTCAGCGAGTTGAGACTTCTTGCACCGATTACATGATACGGTTTTTTGGTGAAGTAGAAGTCCGTATAGAGACCTGCTAGTGCTTACGTAGTGTAGAGACTGGTATTTTCTCTTCAATATGCACATCAAATATAGTT